GTCCAAATGAAGTAGGACTGCCTCGATTTGAAAAATGAAAATAAAAATCATATTTACAAAAAAAAAAAAAAAGTGAAGTGTCGTCTCATTATTTGGGGAAGGATTTATTGTATGCTGTTCCAGTTTGACTGCTCAGAAGTGGTTTGTGAATTCAGCAGAGTCCCCAGAAGGTAGAGTGCTCAGCGGATTCACAGCCTCTGAGCGAACGGTAGTATCAGCACTGGCTTATATACCGCAGTCGCGAGGGTCGCAGCTGTGACCGAGCCTGGCTGCCACGCGACCTCGGTATGTACGCCAGTTTGCCAGCCTCTTCTCCTGGGGGGCCCAGCAGCTGACCACCATGGAGGCTGGCAGTGGTGTCACCGGGCAAGCTAACATTCTCCCCTTAGGGCTCTCTGCCCAGCTCCCTTGTGCGAACTGCAGTGATGTCAGAGCCAGAATATGATGTCACTCTGGCTCCAGTAAGCAACGCGCGAGCTGAAGAGGAGGATCAGTGCTCCCTCGCCTCCTGCAGGACTGGTCGCCCAGCAGCACTCCCAAAGTTAGGGAGGCTTGGAGATTAAGTTTAAAAAAAAAAAATAATAATAATTTATGAGAGTGTATGTGTGTTAGTTCGTGTGTCTGCTAGTGAGTGTTAGTTGTGCATGTTTTGTAAGGGAGTGTATTTAGGTCTGTCACTGAGTGGGTGTCTTATAGCTAGTGTGTATGCGGTTAAAACCCCTTCAGCACCTACCTTTCTCCAGCTCTTGGGATCTCTCCGCCCTGATCCGCCTCTCAGCGCCAAATGCGTGGCAAGAGCCGCACGCATTCAAACCGCCCATAGGAAAGCATTACTCACTGCTTTCCTATAGACGTCCAGCACCTTCTCATTGGTTTTCACAGTGAGAATCGCGGAAGCACCTCTAGCGGCTGTCAGTGAGACAGCTACTAGAGGCTGGATGAAACAGCAGTTTCTCTGAAAGTGCCAAGTTTTCAGCTGCAGGGTTAAAACTAGTAGGACCTAGCACCCAGACCAGTTCATTCAGCTGAAGTGATCTGAGTGCATATAGTGGTCCTTTAGCTGTATGTGTAGCTGCATTCACTGGCGTACATACCGCAGTCGCAGCCTCCGACCCAGTGCCCGTCGCCATGTGTTCTGGCCCACGGATCAATTTTAACACCGGGTCCCCATGGAACGTGTGTACATCACTGAGTATCAGCATCCATTTTCAATAGAACCTGGATGCAGCTCAGCCGCCATTCTCAGGAGCTAGCCTCCAGGCAGGAGTGGTGCTGATACTCTGATCCCCATAATTTGATATTGTCTAGCTGCAAGGAGAAACATTCTGATAGGAAAAACAGCCACCTGGTAAACCTTGCTGTTATTGTGGCAGCTGGGAGGAAGGGAGAGGAGGTAGAGGTGTCAGGCACCAGAAGACTAGTGGGCAAAGTTTTAACCTTTAAAGACCCACCCAAACATTAACTAAACCACAAAGGTAAACTACTTGTCACGGAAAGCCCACCAATGACCGTGGCATAACATGTTAGATGAAGGTGAGCTTTTCCACTGGAGGAGATCATCATATGATATTTTTTTTAAATTTATTTTACAGGAAAAAAAAAAAAAAAGGGAAAAAGTGTTAGAAAGTGCAGGGCAAACCAGGAAAGACATCAAACCCACATAAACCAAGACTTTATACATAACCCCCATGTTCCATTACGCTCAGTATGCTTGCTCTATGACTAGCATTCTGCCAGGTACAGAGCTTATAATGCGAAACGTTTTTGTTTGGTTATAGGGGATAAGTAAAACAACGTTAACACTCTGGCAAGTTCCACACACACTAGACTCGGGATAGTGAGTAAATTCTGTGTATGGCCCCTGGACCTGAAGCAGATAATGCTCAGTGAAGCCCAGTTTACATTCACCATATCCAGTGATCTATGTAACTCTCCCAATAAACGCTCTCAGCTCCCTATACTAATGGCACCTTCCTGTTAGATTGTCAGGTCCTGGGCCCAGACTGCAGAGGATCCCAGTGTCTGCTCTATATCGCTCAGTACGGATATTCCAGCCCCGGTACAGGACATCCCATCACAGGATGCTTTAATTCACCCAGCAGGTACTCACTAATCCCAGTTCCTATCCCAGCGTCCAGGGTGCACATGGGGCCAGAGAGACACCAAGTCATCCCCGCTCTTCCCCACAGACACGGCGGCAAAAAGAGCGACAGCAGAACCCCCGGCGGCGATCACAGCTCTACGGAGAAACATCCCGGCAAATTACCAACCCCAGACTGATACTGAACTCACAGCTGAGCCAGGGATTCATATAGTGCGGGCTACGGGAGCCTGAGAGGGACATGGCCGCAAGGCATTCCGGGAGTTGTAGTTAAATTCTCCATGTAGCTACAGCAGTTGCAATATTAAAGCTGTAATCCTAATTTTGTACATTTGTAATATAGGGGGTCTAAACATTTAATTGAATCTCCTGCTTTCACGATATGAATGATCCCCCTGTTCGGTACTTTATATCTTCATACACCGTTCGTGTAGGTGGTCCAGAGCGGGCAGCAGTCGGCAGTTTACCGATGTTCACGCGAATGCCAAGCCGAAAATAGTTCCTAGCACTCGACGACCAAGTACTGCTGCCCTCATTCGGGAGACAAACTAAGAAGAACATTCATTATTTCCCTTGCGGTTTCGCACTAAAGTTGTTGGTGTTAATGTTCTAATGGGGTACAGGGGTGGTCCTTGTTCAGGAGAGGAATGGATGCTGTTCATATGAAGTCTCCCAAACGGCCAAAGAAGAACTACATGAAATAACCGGCAAAATAACAGGGGGGATACGGACAGCCAATACATGTACATTCCGCTACACAGCATTCTATCTTGTGTTTTCTTTTGGTCTTAGCGACTGGTTAATAATCAGATACCTTTGGCTTAGTTTCATGGGGTCAGCTATTTGCAACTATCAGCTCCCTCTATGTTCACCAGGAGAAAGTAATGTGTGATCACATCCTTACTCTGATCCTGTGTGAGGCAGCGGTCTCAGATTGTAGTTTGGTCAGAGATTTCCCCAAGCAGATTGCAGTGTTAGAAGCAGTCAACCAGGCTCATGACCAGAGTATAGACTTTACTGATCTGATGGTCATCTTAAAATGTATACCAATTACTAAAGACATCAGGACAATTCAAAGATTCAGGTTATAAGCATGACATCCCCCTTTGTATTCCCTATTCATGCAATGCTCATTCAGTGTGCCCCTGCCATTTAGGTTTTGCTTCTTCAGTAAACCCATTTTGTGCCGTTGCCATCTTCCGGCCACTCCTGCCTCAGCCATCCGTTTCTTAATCCTGCAAATACTGTCCTTTCTTGTGCCTTTTCACAAATAGCTCATTCCCAAAATGTTTTCTGGTCAACCTTCCCTTTCATCACTTTTTTGTGGGTGTTGGCATGTAATACCAACACACTTTGGGAAATATTGACTGTTTGAGGTCTGCATTTCACTTAGCATATAGACGCACAAAAAATCGGGTTTACAGATTAGTCAACGGCTAACAAAATGTAGTTTCACATCTAGCCCGATTGTAAATCAATATTAACATTTACCAACTCCATATTCTCCAACCACTACTTTAATCCACCAAAACATATTTCCCCCTTCCACATCAAATTCCATTTATTCAGATTCCAACTTTACTCAAGTGGATGACAGTTAAACCTTTCCCTCCCATACCCACAGGATGTAGTCAATGAGCAGGTGGACTGTGAAGCTTCCAACTAGTCATGGATTAACGGTATAGGATAATTCAGGGATTCCCACTTTGATTAGACCACTGGTTCCCAAACCAGTTTTCATGACCCACAAACAACCCAGGATTTATGCATTTCCACCTTTTTATTCCAAAAGCAACCACTCCCAGCCAAAAGCCTATTTTTGCCGTTTCAACATCTCCCATGCTGGTCCTAGGAATATGGGCAACTCTTTGCCAAGTCCACCAATTGATTATACTGTCATCACCTGTTGCATTTATGTTTTGACTCCTTGCAAAGTACTTGTTAACTTTAACCCTCCATAGCAAAAAAAAATGTAGATAATAGCAAGGTTGCCCACATGATGTTTAACTTTTTGTATTTAAGATCAGCTGTCCCTCTCGCCTCCCAACCTAGAAAAATCATTTGAAGGGCAGGGGGCTGCCACCCCTTGATACTCCATGCATTTCAGAAGGGAGTTCTGATTTAAAAAAAAAAAAACCCACAGACCCACCTCTTTAGCATAAAGAGCAAATACTACAAGTTCTGTTGAAGTGTAAAGAACCCACTAGACTAGAGAATTCTTTGTAAGAGAAAATTTCTTTAGATTAGAAAGCGTTTAGCTGGCTCACCAACATAAGTTTATTATATGAATTAAATTTAGTCTTAGTGATTTTGCAATTTAATGTTTAGTCAATGTGAACATATATAGAAACATGTTGTACAAAAGGCATCTTTTTAAAGTGCTAGATTAGGATAATTTCCATTTGAGGTCACGTGGTCTTTGATATAGTATGTTTAGCTGACTAAACTGTTTATAGCAGAGTTAGAGGACTCATGCAAGCCAATGGCAGGCTGAGAGATAAGCCAATAGCAACACTCTAAAGACAAAATACCCCACATTAAGAATACACTTTGCAAGTTGTAAAATACCAGGTTACAAAGTGACCAGAAACATTTAAGAATTCCACATACAACCAAGTGCGTTATCTTCAGTGATATCTGGACCAATGTAGTCTTCACTAGCGTGTAACAAATGTGGTTTTAAAAAAAAAAAAAAAAAATAGATGAGTGTTGAATCCCAGTGTAGACTGTGCAGAGTCCTGGTATAGTTTAAGTCCATACATTGTTTCATAACAATAGTGAATATTTCATAGTATCAAAGTTTCTACTTTAATTTTGTCCTGCTTGATGGATAACAGTCAGCTACACACTCCATTCAGGAGAAAGTGCAGCATGTCAGCTTCAGTACATAGAAAGTCTTTCAAACCTCTTCAAGTTTGTCCACTGGCAAAAAACCAACATCACCAAGCATCTCCAGTAACACCTCCCCATCTGGATAGATGACTAGCTTGCTAATGCTACCATGATGAAGAGACATCCTTTTCCATGCTTCGGGTGGTAGTTGTAATGCCCTGAACACAAAAATTACAAATTAGCACAATTTCACATATACTGCAATAAAAGCTAGATAATGCTGGTTGTATCCTAGATGATTTTACTTAACCTAGACAGTTTATAGCATGCATATTCTACACAGGGAAGAATTATTCAGAATATGAGAACAGCCAGTGGAAGCCCTTTAGTGGCTGTCTGGTAGACAGCCACTGGAGGAGTTAATCCTCAGGTAATGATTGCAGTTTCTCAGAAACTGCAATATTACTACAGCAGGTTTAATGCACAAGGCACCAAGACCTTAGTGAGTTTAATTGGTCTGGGTGCCTGCAGCATCCCTTCAAGTTTTAAGGAAAAGCTAGCTTGCACGGTCAACATGCCAAGGTATACCAGTATGTTACATTGAAGTTTTGTTTCCCTTCTTTTAGCCAGTATCACAATGCATCATAGAATGTTTTATAACAATTCCAGAGTTGCTGCTGTACTGGCTTAACAGTTGTCAATATACACAACTTACACCACAAGTACCATAGTGGTTATGGTTTCAGGAGATTCTAAGCCCCATTAAACGGGTAGCATTTATTGCTTATGCCTGTAGTCTGGCCCCTCTTCAGAGATTTCTACTTCCACATTCGCATCATTTGGAAGTCTGGTGTATACACTGTCAAATAATCCGAACATTCCCCCCAAAAAAATTCTGCAGCATTCAGTGTGCTGAACCTGGGAGGACCAATTAACTGACACATGATTCTTGTTGTATTGGAGGTCAAAGGGTATATTACCTGCATACAATGTAGCGGATGACATTTTCATGGCAGACTATGATCTCATAGCTATCTTTTGCCTGCTTTGGATCTGCGCGACATATATACTTCCTAAATGCAGCCTCGAGGCGTGGCCCATCTTTAAAAAACTAAAGACAAAAATTAAAAATAAATTATATAGTTAACTCTAGGTCTACTCAATGATTATATACCTTATAATCTGCTTTCCAGTGAGAAGATAGTGGGACTGGCTTGATTGGGTATCCTTCACGAAGCAAGTCACATCCAGAGTTTTCTATATCTGTGGAGATTCATGGCTTTAGTTTTTAGAGATGCAACAGAAAAGAGGATCGTCAATACATCTCTATTACAGAGTGAACAACCCCCACAAAAATCAAGCCTGCCAAACGGAGACATGAGGCCTGATCAAGACTGGTGGGGATTGGGGGAGGGGGGGGAACTTAGGAACGAAACCCTAAAAATATTGTTGGACATAAGGTTTAGGGGCCTTGCGTAACTTGTTATAAACGTGTCTCTTGATACAATTTGACCTTACTACATACAAATAAAGAATGCAAAAAAAAAAACAAAAAAAAACAAAACACAAGCCTGCCATCTCATATCTATGGGGGAACCCCCTTTGTATCCTCCCTATTAGCACCAGGGCCATGAAGTCTACTTGTATGGAGCAGGTAGAGGGTTACAAGAGGCTGTAGAATGCACTGAAAAGACGGTTTAGAAATACTGGGGCAGTATTTCTATTAGGTGCTGTTGACTTATTCTACCACCCAGCATGATCTTAAGTGATGCTCTAAGCACAAAGATAACTTTAGCTTAATGAAGCAGTTTATGGATTATGCCCCTGCAGTCATAAGCTCGAATTTTGTCATTAATGAGTTAATTCACTTATGTTTGAGGCAGAAAACAAACCCCTCCATTTGCTGTGACGCGTACATGAGAAGAGTGTTAACTTTAGGTTCTCTCCTGCATGCTATAATGGGCTATTAAACAGATCAGTTTTAAACTTAACAGAATTTGCAATAATTGAAGTTTAAACATCTCTTTAAAGGAAGGGTTTAGGAAGGCTGTGCAAGTTTTGGTGCATACATATCCCTTTAAAGATTCACTTGAAGGATCAATTGTCCATACATGTGACAAGGATCTTTATGAAGGTATTAAACTGGAGTTATTCAGAATTCCTTGTATTTATTAGACAATTCCCCATCATAAATGGGTTTCCATTCGAGGATATGAAAAATCTACCTGAAGCTTGGCATTTTAATTTAGTACCTCTGAGTTATGGACTGACACTGCATATCATTTTTTGGTAGTAGATAGAAGTTCTAGTGTAAGCTTTATTTTTAGACTGTGAACATATGTAACCTGCTACTGACATGCTGTCAGCCATTTTGCTGTTTATTCATCATCTTAAAATATAATCAAAGAAGAATATTTACTCTAAGAAATAAGAAGAAACTATGTTTTATTGCTACAATTTATTAATGGATGTCTGGACTGTTTTTTGGATTGCAAAAGGAAAGGTTATTTTGAAAGCGTGTCTTGTCAGATGTTGCCAGGGGGGGAAAGGTGAAATGTGTGCTTAAGTTGTGAAAGAGGAAGTCAGACTTATATGTGTTAACTTTTATCATAGACAAGCGATATTTTAGCGAAGTAAGACGCATGACTGGTCAAGTCATCTGTTAGAAAGATCATGGGATGCTTAAACTTTTGAACCTTAAATTTGTCAGTTATGCTAGAATTTAGCCAATAGGAAATAAGACCATATTTGGAGTTCTGATTCAAGCTAAACGAAAGGCCAGTTCCGGGTCATATGTATAAAATATGAGGAATTGTAACATGATGTTAGATTGCTTCTTGCCAATCTCCATGAGATATCTGTGTATTGTAATGGTCAATTAAACGCTTTTTATTGAACCTGGTAATATTTTTGTCTACTTCCACAGTTGGGGGCTCTTTGTCCGGGATCAGAATACCACAGACACCAGCGGAACACCTGCACCTGCCAACCATTTCGTGGGCACTCAAACAGACCGGTCATATAAAAGGTAAGCCATACCATTTATAAAACATGGCATTAGTGTAATTTTTGAGTGTCCATGAAACAAAGAACGGTGCAGGTAAATGCTAGTCTGTGTGACCTGATTTCTTAGCCTTTTATTGACCATTTGTAACGTTACTATTTATGTCTATGTTGTAAAATATACTGCAGTATTAGTGTCTATGTCTGAGTGATTCTAGAATCAGTGGTAGCACTGACAGGTAGTCCCCTAGGAAGACTTAAGTGACTAAACTTCGCAGACCCAATAGGGGTTTGGTGGGCCTTCAGAAGTCTAAACGTAGCTCTGTTGGTGAGAGTCTCTTTGATATGATGTATCCCTGTCATGTGATTGTGGCTAAATGTTGAGGTTAGCCACATGAATCTAATCTCCCAAGTCTAAACGTAGCAAAGTGAGATTAGATTATTTTGTTTTAGTGTCTTAATTTCACCCAGTCTAAACGTAGCAAGGTGAAATTAAGTTGTCTTGTATTAATTGGCTAGCCATATGAATCTAATCTCCCAAGTCTAAACGTAGCAAAGCGAGATTAGATTATTTTGTTTTATTGTCTTAATTTCACCCAGTCTAAACGTAGCAAGGTGAAGTTAAGTTGTCTTGTATTAACTGTTTAAACTCATAGGTTAAACATAGCACTTGAGTAAGATGTATTGTGTTAAAATTGTATAACTGTGTGTATATGGTTTAAATTTTGATAAACTGTGACATCATTTGAGAAGAGATTTTTGTGTAAACTCCAGTTGTCAGTCAGTATACAGACTGAAAATTGTGACCTTTCGATCTCTCAAAAGGTGATACAGTGAGTGTATACATTTGGTGTTTAAAAGTACAAGTAACAGAAATGAGGTTGAATCATGGCAAGCAGCTTGATCATGGGGATAGTATACCCAGTGATTCCCCAGTTTATTTAATGAAACAGAAATATGGCCCTTCAAATATTATGTATTCAAAGAAATGGGCAAAGTTAACTAAGAATAATATAAATCCATGGCCAGTGGTGGGGTCATTAGACCCTTGGGTGTTGTTAAGTTTAAGAACAATGTTGTTAAATGAAAAAAGTCTTTCAAAACTGGAATGGTCTGCATATATGTTATGGCATGAGGAAATTGAAAAGAAAAAGCAAGAATGTTCCCCCCAGTCTGGTGCAACAGGAGGGGCACGTAAAGGAGAGGGTACTGGTGTTGCCTGTTTGTATCCCTCACTGTACAATTTAAAAAGAAATGTTAAAAATCCTCCGCCTTATAATGATGAGGATTTTTTGATTAATCATGAGATTATGAATCCCTCTTTGGGTCACTTCCCCTCAGCAGATGAATGATGCACCACAGCTTGTACCCCAAAATTTAGCTGGTGCCTCAGCCATGTTGCATTGAGGTGGTAGACCTGAGAGGGATATTAGACTGCCTAAAAGATTTGCTGATCATGCTGTGGTAACTACAGGTTTATCAGGATGTAGCAATGTGTTGCCTGAGAGTGATGGGAGTGATGGGAGTGAGGCTATGATTTTACCTATTAGAGAAGTGGGACAGATGGATAATGATGGGAGACCACGGAGGATTTGTCAACCGTGGAGCCCACAAGACATAGCATTTTTATAGGTATCATTTCCTGCCCCCTCTAGATCCAAATGGGTTTGTAAAACATTTAAAAATAATGTGTGCCAGCTATTTCCCCACAACATAAGATCTTAATGAGTTAATGGAGACAGTATTAACCCCTGCAGAACATACTAAATGGGTGGCAGGATATAATGAGTCACCTTTCTCATGGCCTGCATGGGTGGGGGGACAAGCAGTTGCACACATATGGGAAAATTGCCCTGATGAGAGGAGTGATGTTGTCCTTAAGAATTGGTATGCATTCCTCAGCATTAAAGTAAAAACTGTTTTTACCCAGCCTATTGACTATACATAGCATAGTGCAAAAGAAAGGAGAAAACCACTATGAATATGGGGAAGCAATTAAGGTTTTTGGAAGTTTTGAAGATATCACGGTTGAATCAATTAAGCCGTTCATAGTGAATACCTTAGTAAATGCTTTGGATGCATCAGAAATTTGACAAGCTATTCAAATCAAGGAAAATGCAAAGGCTGAGCACATAATGCTACAAGCTGAACAAATTCCTGTTAGATATTATGCACATCAAATGTTTCAATTGTGATGGATATGGTCATATAGCAACAGATTGCAAGGAGGTAAAGGGGACAAGAAAGCAATTAGAAGAAAAAGACAGACTAGATGTAGAGGAAGATTGGGGTCTGAATATGTATTGTTAGTGTACCTGTGACCCAAGGTCCAAAACCTATGGTACATTTGAAAGTAAATTAATTGTATGTGATACTGAGGGAAGAAGAAGTAAGTGATTTTGGTGGGGAGAGTGTATATTTAGTGGAAGACCAGCATTGCCATCATTGTTTAATTCTGAATGGTCAAGGCTGGGCCTAGAATCTGTATTGGCACTGGTGTGTTCTTCATGTGTTATTTGTTTACAATACAATGCAGGTCAGAGACCTAAATCATCCTCCCTGTTCATGAGGTCCATTTGTAAATTTACAAATGGATTTCATTGAATTACCAAAGGTAATGCAGTACCGGTATGTGCTAGTAATATTAGATACATTCTCAGGTTTGGTTGAGGCTTAACCTTGTTGCCATGCGGATATTGTCTACAGTGTCTAAGAAATTGTTACAAGAATTTATACCCAGGTATGGATTGCCTCGGCACATTTACTCAGATCAGGGAACACATTTTATAGGAAAAGTAGTGCAACAGATAGCAAAAATTTAGCAAATCCCTTATCATTTACATTGCTCTCATCATCCTCAGTCAGAAGGAGCAGTAGAAAGGGCCAATGGAACATTGAAAAACAAAATTGCAAAAATTGCAGCAGAGAAAGTTAAAGTGGCTTAATGCACTTCCTCTTGCCTTAATGTCTATGAGATTCTCTCTAGTTTGAAAGCAGGGTTATCCCCTCATGAAATTCTAATGGGAAGACCAATGTTCACAGGAGGGGTACCTATAAAATGTTATTCTCATGAGATAAATGATGATTTAGTAATGACGTATTGCATGTAGCTAACAAAACGATTAGTCTCTCTATATGCAGGTAAAAGCTGTACAGCGAACAAGTGAATACCAACCTTTGCATGCCATCGCTCCTGGAGATTATGTTATGATAAAAGACCATTCACGAAAGCACGCGTTGCAACCAAGGTGGAAAGGACCTTGTCAAGTGTTATTAACCACTAATTCAGCTGTTAAAGTCGCAGGGGTTAAATCTTGGATCCACATTTCCCATTGTAAACTGACAAGCGCTGGAAAAGATTTTTTCACTGGAAGAAGAATAGAGGACTAAGGAAGCCGTTTTCCCTTCTAAAAAGGGGTACTTTATAAGGGGAGTATCTTTCTAATCCAAAGTCAACTCTACTGTTTTTCTTCATGAATCTCAAACTGGTTAAACTTATATTGTCCTTAATGATGGTCATTATGACATTTTTAAAAATTTTCATCCTCTACACTACGTTAGCTCCTCTTTTTTCTTTAATACACGTGTAGCTTGGGCCAGGGAGCCAAGTATTTTTCTTCTTGGGAGATAGATAATCATTTCGTTAAAACAGCTACTGAATTGTATAAATTATCAAACAAAAGTAATCATTGTTGGGTTTGTGGGTTTGCTCCGCATTCCATGAACTATGGTTATCCTTTTGTGGGGGTGCCATGGTCTATGGAATCTCTTTGTGAGAAAATAAGAGCAAATAAAACGGGGTTTGTTGGATTTATTCAGAATGAATTATCCAAATCTGGCGAACCTGCTAAGGTTCATTTAACATATCCCATTACTAGCAGAGCAGTAGTAATTTCTAACAGGGATCAGAAAAGTCCTGCCAAGATTGTTAAGCCTATAAGCAATGCTATTGTTATTTTTGAAAACAATGTCCTTTATAATCTATGTGGGTCTGAAACTAATTCTGCCCCTTGTACTGGTAGATTGAAAGCTTTTTGTTGGAAACCCTTATTAGAAGATATTTTGACAAAATGTCCCATCAAGGATAGAATCCCGGTGATTACTAATCATGTATGGGTAAATTTGACTTCTGAGGTAGAAATCATGGATAATAATTATGACCAGAATGAACATTTAAATGTCACTATTTTGAGATGGGCCTACTTTAATACTCAAACTTCCAATCTTTTTATGCTACTGCCCTATATTAATCAACCTATTTTTGACTGCTCAGATTCTCATGTTATTGATATCCATCTTCCATTTGGGGTATACTATTTATGTGGTAGTTGGGCGGTAAAAAGACTTCCATGTAATTGGGTGGAAACTTGTTATGTAGGTAATATTATCCCAGCGTTAACCCTTCATGAAAATTTGCCTGAAGGAAGGGTGAGGAATAAAAGAAAGGTTATTAGTTCCAAAAAAGATAAAACCGAAAGAACTGTAAAATCTGGTGAAGAAGATAGGCTATTTGCAGGTTTTGTACCTACATGGGGGGTTATTGAATTAATGTACAAATTAAACTTGTTAGGAGATATACTAGATGAAGCCTTTAATAATACAGGAGATGCTATTCAAAAATTGTCTGCAGAACAGGAACAAGCTTCAGCTATGATTATGCAAAATAGGTTTGCCCTAGATTATTTGTTGGCCTCCGAAGGTGGTGTTTGTGCACTAATAAAAACAAGATGTCGTTTAAAGATAGATAATGTTACTGGTCAGATTCATACAGATGTAGATAGATTGCATGAAGTACAAATTAAACTTAGAGAAGTTCACGATACTTCTTCGGGAGGTTTAAATTGGGGTTTTGACTGGAGTTTTGGTTTAACTAATTGGTTGGGAACAATGGGAAAACGTATTCTCTTTGGAGTTATTTTAGTAGTATTGATGCTTGTGTTTATATATGTTGCAGTGAATGTCCTAAAGTGTTCATGCCGATTGACCCTCAAGAGCTGTTCACCTTCATCTCCCCCTGGCACAATTTCGAATGTTGAAATGTCTCCTATCTGGTCACAACTCATACCGACTTGGAATACAGACATGCTTTCTCGTGAAGATATTGATCGTGTGCGCATCTATTTGGAAAGTCCTGCAAGTGCTGTTTAAAATCACTAGCTCACTGAATGACCTTCGCTAAACATGGAAGTGTTGCACGGAGCTTTTTGTGGTGAAAGTCCTAGCACCAAAGGGAGGACTGTGAACATATGTAACCTGCTACTGACATGCTGTCAGCCATTTTGCTGTTTATTCATCATCTTAAAATATAATCAAAGAAGAATATTTACTCTAAGAAATAAGAAGAAACTATGTTTTATTGCTACAATTTATTAATGGATGTCTGGACTGTTTTTTGGATTGCAAAAGGAAAGGTTATTTTGAAAGCGTGTCTTGTCAGATGTTGCCAGGGGGGGAAAGGTGAAATGTGTGCTTAAGTTGTGAAAGAGGAAGTCAGACTTATATGTGTTAACTTTTATCATAGACAAGCGATATTTTAGCGAAGTAAGACGCATGACTGTGGTCAAGTCATCTGTTAGAAAGATCATGGGATGCTTAAACTTTTGAACCTTAAATTTGTCAGTTATGCTAGAATTTAGCCAATAGGAAATAAGACCATATTTGGAGTTCTGATTCAAGCTAAACGAAAGGCCGGTTCCGGGTCATATGTATAAAATATGAGGAATTGTAACATGATGTTAGATTGCTTCTTGCCAATCTCCATGAGATATCTCTGTGTATTGTAATGGTCAATTAAACGCTTTTTATTGAACCTGGTAATATTTTTGTCTACTTCCACAAGACCTACATAAAAAAATAAATAAAAAAAAGTTACCTGGTAGTTTTCTTTTGATGATTTCAAAAGTTTCTTTGGTTCTGGCCATCGAAGAATAAATAATGTAGGTGAAGGTATGATGTAGAGACGCCAGGCGCTTACCGGTGTGTTCTGCCTGCTTCCGTCCTACAGGAGAGAAGAGACTAAACTTAGTTAATTACAAGCTGTACCACAATAACCCCAGTCTTATTTCAGTGTGGCAGTCACAGGAATTGATTGTTAGTGGGGCATGTATGTAGTTTGTTATAAATCCTGAGGCTTTTATGGGAGAGAGGGGAGGTGTCTCTTACAAAGACAAGTCATACATACCCTCTTCTGTGAGAATTTTTTCTGAGTCTGTAGCTCCATCTTCATTGTACTGTGCATGTCTGACCAGAAAGATGTGGCGAGTAGCCTTTGCTTTGTGTCGATCGAGCTGGTGTTTCAATTCCTCAGGCTTTTCCTTCAGGTGATTCAAGTTAATCAGAGAGTTTGGCTCTCGACTATGGAACAGAAATATATACACAAACATACATCACTTTAAAAAAAAAAAGGCAGTTACCACAGTTCGCAAAAAACAGCCAATTTGAGTACAATAGTTGCACGAACACCTCCATCAGCCAGTAGGTGCTCTTGGTAGCTCCTCAGCCAACAGTCCTTACTCTTCTATACTCAGAGAGAAATCTCAGTGTACCCTCCCTGGTTAGACATTTTATAAATAATTACTCAATGAACTGTAATGCAGCACATTGCAGTCACCCACCACAGAGGCTCCTGACCACAGAGCTGATTTCAGTCTGTGCCAGGAAGAGGGCTTGCAAAGAAACGTAACTAGAACTTGAGGCTTCGTAAGACCCACATATCACAACTGTCACATTATAAAACAAATGGGATGACATGCAGTGGGACGACATGCAGTGGGATGACATGCAGTGGGATGCTGTCGGTCGCCGACTTACAGATCCCAGTTACTTTCCCAGCGCTCGCTGACAGCAGGCGGCCATGCCAGAAAGTAGTCATCCCCGCTTTTCCCCACAGACACGGCGGCAAAAAGAGCGACAGCAGAACCCCCGGCGGCGATCACAGCTCTACGGAGAAACATCCCGGCAAATTACCAACCCCAGACTGATACTGAACTCACAGCTGAGCCAGGGATTCATATAGTGCGGGCTACGGGAGCCTGAGAGGGACATGGCCGCAAGGCATGCCGGGAGTTGTAGTTCTGACTGCACTGTAGACTCAGTTCGTTCGAAGTAGTACGATGATAGATTCGCTGATGGAATTCCGTATATCAAGAATAGAAGTACTGACTGGCAGCATTGAAAAAAGGCACCTGTATGGATAGGTTTATATGACTGTCTGTAAGTGCCTGTAAGGCTATGGCTGTACCTGTATGGCTGTGTGTATGTGTCTATATGACTTGGCTGTCTGTGGGGTTGTGTCTGTATGGCTGTGTCTGTGTCCTGGTTACATGGATGAAAAGGGGAAGGGCAAGGGAAGAAGAAGTATGACATTAATGATTAAAAGTATGAGCAGGGGTAGAATAAAAGGGCTTATCTTAATTTTGATTTTTCCCTAATTTGGTATTCATATGTATGGTAATCGCATGTAAGGAAACCAGATTAGGGTGCCATCTACTAAAATCAGAACTAAGAAATTGACCATGTTTATTGTTATTACCACTATTATTATGCTTATTATATTAAATTTTTAGCTATATGGCCTATTGCGGCCCTCCATCTCTACACAGACAATTCATCCGGAGCTCATGCAAAAAAGGTTGCCTACCCCTTGCTCTAAGTGTTGCCACTGCCCTACATGTTGCTGCCATCTATTGGCTTTTTCAGTTTTACAGGAAGATTTTCATGTACTGGTTAATAAAGCATGCTTCACAAGCTGATTATACCGTGATCGGTGCTGGCCAGCTGGCAAAGGCCAGGGAGACACTGACAGCCAGGGTCTGTTCAGCACTGTAGCTCTAGCATCACTGTGGCTGAACGAAATTGCCCTGCCGCAGTATCCTGAATGGATTTAAACAGACGTTCGGCACTGCATACAGCTCATCAGTCAGTCTGGGGCCACTAAAATATCCCCAACTGACAGAAGGAGCCCCATGTATCCATTGATAACAGTGTATTCCTGATGTGAGCAGGGATTTGACCCTTTGCAGTCCTGTGTCGGAATATATCTGACAAAATAATTTACCTCCTGCGGGCCAATGTCTGATTTTCCCTGGAGAGGACCGCTGATCCTCCATGCCGGGTGCCTCAAAGGTGCACGACGAACACAGGGTGGGAGATCTTGGTGGTGGAATGTATGCACAGGTTGTATTGCGTTCCTGCGGGAGGTCACAGAAATTAAAATGATATTAAACCTAGTGGTGCACTTAGTGGAAATGTATTGCACTGCAAAGGGTTAACCTTGCTCACACCACATTGCAACAATAGGCATTTAAAAACCTATTTAAAGAGCATATATGCAGAGCTCACTCTGAGTATCAAGAACTTGAGCTCAAGAACACTAATCACCATTTACTACCATTTCCAGAATTGAAAGCTGTACATCATCGGATCAGGGAGAGAACTTCTGTTTGACAACTTTTAAGACAATGTACTTACATATGCTTCCACCTAAAACAGACACTGTCATTATGTTACACAGTAGAGAAACAAGGACTTGGGCAGGGAGATTCCTCCTAAGGCCTGCAAGAGAGCATACATGTCTCATGGGGGTATCTGGAAATCACACGAAAATTACTTTATTATTTGTACTTTGTACCAGCGAGATTTGCACACATATTCCCTAATGTTAGTAATGGCTGTTGGAGATGCAGCTCCGAGGTAGGGACAATGCTCCACATTTGGTGGACATGCCCTCTAGTGACACATTTCTGGGAAAGAGTGGCAGGCATGTTAGAAGATAGTGTGGTCCTACATCTGAAACCCTCCTTAGAGGTATTTCTGTTATACATACTACCAGAAGATCTCATTAAACGTTTATATCTCATACTCACCAGGCTCAGCTGCCTTGTTGCTAGCTGGAAGCTGGAAGCCAGCCCTCGTTATTTCCAATATGGAAATTGTAACTCAGGTCATGGCCAACCTAAAAATGGTGGTCATCTGCCGAAATAATAATTATAAAATAAACACCCACAGTGGGAGCCGCAGCCATCATTAGGGAAGTTAACGGTATAACCATTAACCCCTTAAGGACAAACTTCTGGAATAAAAGGGAATCATGACATGTCACACATGACATGTGTCCTTATGGGGTTAAACTGGTACCCATCTAATTTTCTTTACTTTACACTTGATACACCTGAGGCAGGGGCTTGCACCAGACAGTGAGAGATAATTATGGTTTGCCTATCGTTAAATGAAAACTATAGGGTCAGGAAAACAGACATGTATTCCTGACCCTATAGTGCTAAAAACAATATCAAGCCCCCAAGTCTCTCCTTGCCCCTCTAAATATAGCAAAATCTTACTTTTTTTTACATTCTTTATTTTCGGAGTCCAGGTTTAGGCATACAGGCTTTAACAACATTTTACAAGGTTAGAGACAGTAGAAAATAGTAAGGATTTGTAGCATGTAATATCGAGAATGCTGCACTTTTTTGTTTTAAATAAATGAAATCAGGCATATGTACTTCAGGTAGTGAATTAAATAGGATAGCATAAGATGTAAGCTAGGCTAACTGAGCACACATAGAGTAGCACATGAAGGAAAAACACACCAGGTAACAACCAGAAAGATTAAGTATAGAGTATCTGACACCAGAAGAGTATCTCACCCGACAGGTCCCAGATGGAGAATATATTGTGTGCGTAAGTCGGGAGGTAATAACATGTGCTTATGACTAAACTAACATATGTACAGTACAGGCAAAAGAAAATTAAATGGTACAAAAAAAGAAAATGATAAGAAAATGGCACACTTGACCCTGGCAGCTATTGTAACTGTGACATGAGGCAGTTGGATGCAGAAAAGTCACCCTACACTTTCAGCCAATTTGGCATGGGCACAGTCCTGAATAGCTCCCGAAGAGGTGATTAGCAGGGAACCTAGACCTGCAGTAAGCCGACATCAGGTATGTTGATACACGGGATACCCTGGTGTGGGCAAGAAGTTAACCCTGCTCAAACCAAAACTGCAGTACATTCCATCCAGTCCCAACAGTGTTAATGGACCACTAAATCACCCAGACCACTTCACCTCAATGAAGGGGTCTCGATGCAGTGTCCTGTCATTTTTAACCTATTATTTAAAACAATGCTGTTGAGATGATTGCATCTTTAAGAACAGCAGAACACAATCTTTGGAATGATTCAGTCTGTGTGAGAGATGGAAACCATTTTTAATATTTACTGAGGAAGCAGTTAATGATGCAGATATGTGCTTAATGCTGAGTAAAAGGTTGTCTGAAATAGATGTTACAGATTCTTGGTGATACTGGGGACAGTTATTGGCACAAGGTAATAACATAGCTCTGAATGTTATAGCCATGACGAGACAGGGATCATAACAGCTGGCAAAAATTAGACCCTGCAATGGCTCACATTGGCACCTTGCTTGTGTTTGCACCAGACGTAGAAAAATGGGACAAATGGGCTAATCTATTTGAGTTTTATTGTAAATAAGTGGCAGTTTTCCTGACAACTGTATGCCCAGAGGCTTAAAGCTCTAAGCATTAGAAGTACACTCCACTACCTAAATACAAAAATAAATAAATCACTGTTTAGTAGATATACTTCCTCTACAACAACTGAGTAAAACTCAGTCACGTAGTTACGTCGCTGAAAAGAGACATGCATTCATCAAGTTCAGCCTTTGTCACATCCGTTTTTGTTGTTGATCCAAAAAAAGACAAAAAAAACCAGTTTGGACCAGTTTCCAATTTTGCAACACACTCGGAAAAATTCCTTCTCGACCTCTGAATTACAGTAAGATCTCTCCTTGGACAAAGAAGCTATTACCCCACAAATTAAAAAAATTATTTCTGAATATTATGTTTTTGCAAGTATTTATCCAGTTGCTGTTTAAACATCTGTACAGACTCTGCTAAAACCATCTCTTCAGGGAGAGAATTCCACATGTTTATTGTTCTTACATTAAAAAAAAACAACCTTTCCTTTGATTTAGACTCAATCTACTTCCAGTCTAAATGCGTGACCTTGTGTCCTATGTATAGTCATGAAACTAAATACAGTTCATAGGAAAGCTGTGAATTCAATGCTTTCCTATCACAATCATTCGAATACCTAGGCAGTGCTCGCCGCAACTGTGCTTCAGTCCCTAATGCTCGTATATGAGCAGCATTGGTTTGGACCTACAGATTGGTAGCAATGCAGCCGGATGACGTAGTGGGAGATGGAGCAGTTGGCAGCGCTGAGGGAGTGTCGGTGCTGGAGAAAGGTCCAAGTAAAAACCTATTGCAGTTGGGGGCACTGTAAACTAGCAATAGACTAAAGTACAGGTTTGTATTTCTTGTGCTATAGTGTTCCTTTAAGAAAACATGTACCACTGCATTCAGGCAGCATTTAAACCCCATTATTTTGGCATCCTGTGAAAGGTTTAGTAATGTGACTGAAACGTTGACTGTATACTGTTGCATGTCTGCTTTAAATAAGAAAGTTATTTTGTTTGTTTGTTTGAAGTCTTATGAGTTTACTCCTTCACATTGGATATATTACAGGTATGTAGCTTGGCACCAGGGGATCAAAGACTGGAAGACAAGAAGGGTTATTGCCTAAACTCAGAATTTTTGTAAATAAAAATTGCAGAATTTAAGCTCAAACACCTAAGCCATTACATTTTTTATTTTCTATAATTTTGGAATTTAGTGAATAGTCCTGTGAGGAGTGTCAAGCAGTCATTACATTTTATATAGGTGTGGTTTCTGAGTGTATTATGCATATATAGATGTATATTAGTGTTTGTATAACAAAGCAGCTCTGTGACATTCAGGTGTCTGCATATTTTCCAAAGACCCCCATAGGTGACATCGCTGCTTGTGGTACGATGGTCTGGGGGAACAGTGGAAGGTAAAAACACTTACCTGAAGTTGTCCCTCCACTGAAGGCTGGTGCAAGGAGATTTGCC